CATAAATATTCTACGGTTGACAACCTGGCTCCTTTAGATATTAACATTCTCTAATCTTCTTTGAGTTTCATGAGCTCTAAGAATGCTAGTCTTTCTTAGCCAGCAAATAATATTCTACCTAAACTCCTCTACAGGAAGTGCTTGATATATTGCATTTTGTTATTGGCAGAAAGAAGTGGTTTGATCTGATGACAAATACTATGAATTTCTAAACTTTATTTGGTCATCAATACAAAAATTGAAAATTTACCAAGTCTTAGGTTTATGATGGTACTAGATTACTGGCAAAAAAATCGCTTCACCTTCCAGACTTTTGCTCGTCTTAAATATAGCTTCTTTATGGCTAGACATTGAAGTACATTGTTGCTCTGTATAGCTTAGGCTCAATTTAAAAATCATTCTTCCATCTTTCAACTAAGTATCGACTTTAGAACCACTCCTGCTCACAATGCCGGTGGCATGTCCATCCATTGAACATTGTCCTCTACGATGTGAGGCTGGACTTCAACGTGATGAACGTGGTTGTTTCCAATGTGAATGTGTGCCTACAAATAGACCAGAGCAATGTCCGGCACTTTCAACACAGAACTGCGACAAGTATGTGTAGCCGTAATTGTCTCAAAAGTTGACAGTCTTCCGTAATTCTCAGTTTTTAGGCAATGTGCGCATGGATATGCAAAAGATGCAGCAGGATGTGTCGTATGCAAATGTGCCAAATGTCCACCATTACACCAATGTATGAAACATTGCCTTTACGGGTTTGAATCGAACTCGGTTGGATGTCCAGTATGCAAGTGTAGAGGTGAGCGTACTCTACCTTTATTAACTTGCCTACCTTTCATTTTACCTCGATCTTTTACCTGCTAGTACTGAAATTTAAGCGAGATTGCTTTACAGTAGTTGTTTGATGATTTACTTTTATATCGTCAACGCTACCTACAAGGAAATCGAGAAGTGTTTCTTATAGGAAAAACCTATTACTTCTGCCTCTAGAATACTGATAATAGTCTAACTATGTACTCATATATCGATTTCAAGCTATCGTGGAGATATACTTCCTTCTAACATAAAATGCTAATAAACTGAAATTTCTGATCAAGTTGCGAACTACCTAATGTCCTGTTATCGCTTTAGAAGCTTGCCTCCCGTTCTAAACTTTTGCTTCTCAAAATCACTCAACTTCCCTCTAGAAAGTGAATAGCGCGAGTTATATAATAAAAATTTTTCTGCTTAATCGTCGAACCTGGTTTGGAAATTTGAATAAAAAAAAAAAGCTTTTGTGAT